ATTCGCAGCGACATGGCGATGTACCAGTTAACCAGTTCATTTTCGCGCCGCCGCCAAAACACTACCGCCACTGCGTCTCCCTTACATCGCGCGGAAACGCTGGCGGGCAGTGAGTGTTGTTGTTGTTGTTGTTCTAGTTGTCGTTGTCGCACTCGGCTGGAATGTTCCTAGGAAACTCGCCCGGCCGCTGCTCCCGGTGCTAGTGGTGGTGGTGGTGGTGGTGGTGGTGGTGGCGGCGGCGGCGGCTGCGGTGGTAGTGCGTGCCGATAAAACTCTAAGCCTGCCGCCCCGCCCGCACCACCAGCAGCACCGCTCTGGTAATTTACCCCACATTGAGGGCGGGCCCTCGACCCTTTGCCTCCCCGCTGGCTGGGGCGGGCGGGGAGCGGGGTGAAGGGCGGCGCTGGCAAAGCTTGCATCCGCAGAAAGTGTCTGCGCGGCCCTGTCGCACGCCGGCCGCCGCCACCCCTAGGCCAGAGAGGCCAGCCCCGCTCGACCCGCGGTGCATGCTGGGCGATGCTGGGCGATGCTGGGCGATGCTAGGCCCAGCCAGCCAGGCGGCAGGCCCGGCAGGCCCGGCAGGCGGCAGGGTGGCCAACTCGGATATACGACTTGCGGCGGCGACTCTCAAGCCAACTTGTACACGACGCCGCGCGAATCCCTCCGAGCCCGGCCCCCTCACACACACGCAGGATTGCACACAGACACACCCACACAAACACACACACACACTGCCGGCAGACCCTCTTCCCAGAAGCCCCTCCATAGTTGCTCCGTGCCCACACCTCAAAGTCCTGAAGAGGCCTTAAGCTGACCTTAAGTCGGCCCTCAAGCTGACCTCCCGGCTGGGAGCGCCAGCAGCGCCCTGCAGCCCCCCGTGCCCTGTTCTACAGTGTACCCTCCCCTCGTGCGCCACAGAGTCCCGATTACATTTTCCTGCGCACACCGCCACAAAATCGCCTGCAACATTTTTCGCGGTTTGAATTTCGGTTCAAATTCGCGCCGCACCCCTCCATGTTTCGAAATTAGCCGCCGCCTCGTCGGGCGCCCCAATAAATGTAGGTAAATTGGTTCAAATTGGTTCGGTTAACGTCGTTTCATTCGACGAGCAGGGCAGAGCAGGGTACGGGCGCTCCAATTACCGGCCCATCCCCGCCCGCCGCCCGCCTGCCGCCCGCCCGCCTGCCAGCCTGCGTCTCCCAAGTGACTCCCGAAACGTGTCTGCGGCCGTACTTCGCCACAGTGGTGTTTACGCCCAAATCTCCCCTCAAGCAGCCGGCCCGGCACGCCCGGCACGCAGGAACCTCCTACCAGCGGAGGAGGGTGCTTGCGCAAAGGCAGCCAGGCGGGCAGGCAGGCAGGCAGGCAGGCCGGGGACAGACGGAAATACAAGCACTCCACCCATCCTCCGCCCCAACACTATCTTCCCCTCCGTTTGCACCTCTATGAGCAGCAGCTGCTGCTACTGCCGCCGTTCTGACGTGCACGGCCAGAGGCAGCAGGCTGACAGCTCGTTTAACGCGCTGCCGGAGGGGAGGGAGGGGAGGGGCGACCCCGGCCAGCCACTACTGCCGGAGTAATTTCGAGTGGCCACAGGGGCGGATCCGGCAGCGCGTTACTGCTGCCCTGCCCCAGGCAGCCCCGGGCAGCACGGCACCAGGCGGCCCCTGGCAGCCCCCGGCCGACCAGCCGACCGCGGCGAAAGAACGCGACGGGACGGACAGCGCTGCCGCCCAGGGGGGCCTCCCCCAGCCGCTCGTATTATTATCGCAATTTGCTCCGCGTCGTGCGTGAGTGTGTGTGTGTGTGCGTGTGTGAGGCAAACGCAGCCGACTCCGCGGTGGACCGAGGCCAAAGGGGGTATCGCAGCAGACGGACTACGACACGGCGCGGCAATGCGCGGCTATGCGCCCCCAGGGCGCCTCTAAGGGGGCGACGCACGCCCCACCCCATTGGGCCCCACCCCGTGAGCTGTCCTCATACAATGGCGCGTAGTATGATTTGCATGACTGTATAAAAGGGGTTGACTTTTTACCCGCCGGTTTGCAAACGCTGCTGCTGTGCCGCCGCTGCTGACCCTCCCTCTCGCCGCGCCCCTCGTCACCCGCCTCTGTGTGTGTGTGTGTGTGCGTCTCTACGAGAGAAAAAGAGAGCGCATGCGTGTATCTGTGTGTGAGAGAGAGTAAGCGCGCGCGTGTGTGTTGTGCCTGTGTGCGTGCGTGTCTGCAGCGGGCAGACGCCACGCCGCGATTTCCAGTACGCGCCCGACGCACACATTACCGCCGCCGCCCCGCCCCGCCCCGCCCCGCCCCGCCCCGCCCCGCCCCGCCCCGCTCCGCGGCTCCGCGTGTGCCGCCGGCTCCATGGCCCCTGCAGCGGGCAGGGTAGGCCGGCCCGCCGCACACGCGCGCGCCGCGATGCCGGCCTTGCCTACCTCGCAGGCGCTTCCACGACTCGTTCCACGACTCGTTCCACGAGGCCAGCCGCCAGTGCCGTGCTGACTGATTCCGAGAAGAGTCGTTTCGTTTCCGTCTCTCTCGCACTCACGCGGCGTCGCGTGCGGGTGCGAGAGAGACGGAGCGACGGAAGTGATTCGCGGAACGGGAATCAGTCTGCTGGCCAGGCCTTGCCCGGCCCGGTGTGGCGCGCAAAGCCCCGCACTGGCGGTGGCGGCGTGACGCGGCGGCGTGACGGGGCGGCGTGACGGGGCGGCGTGACGGGGCGGCGTGACGGGGCGGCGTGACGGGGCGGCGTGACGGCCCGACGGCCAGCACGGCGTGACGGCGTGACAGGGAGACGGCAGCACTTAGTTTGCGGCCCGCGCCCTTCTATTTCATTCACGTGACACCACACGGGGCGGCGTGGCGGCGTGGCGGCGAGGGAAGGGGCCGAGAGGAACGCCCGCCCGCCCCGCCCCGCCCCCCGCCCCGCCCCGCCCCCGCCCGCCACGCGCCGCACAAATACCGCGCTCTGCAAATTTGTAGTCCCGCACCGATGAGGAGCAGGCAGGAAAACGCAGCGGGATTCTGGGTGCCGCTGGGTGCAGCAGCCCCTCTCCCCCCCCCCTCCCACATATGCGTGGTTATTTCCGGCGTGATGCATGGCATCCCTATTCAGTCGCGGCGGAATGGGCATGGCCGGGCAGGCCCGGCATCGCAACGCTAACTGCACCCCGACACGCCACGCACCCACACTGCCAAAATCAATCGATAAATAAATAATAGATAAATCGACACGAGCACGGTCCACGGCCATCTTTGAAATAATGAAAAACTTTGACAGAATTCGCGTGCCCTCTTTGTGGTGCCGGCCGGTCTGGCCGCGTTGGCCCTCCTGCAATGAGTATCGCCCGGGGAACTTTCCCGCCTGCCCATCGCTCACCACCGCCTTGTTTTTGTTGTTGTTTTGTTTTTTTTTCGTTCTTTTTCGCGCGCAAACTCGGAAGACACACCATCGAGTCCCATTTTCAATTTCCTCGGCCTGCACGGGATGGCGGTGCGAGGGGCGTGGAGGGGCGGCGGGTGCGGAAGTGGGGAGGGGAGGGAAGGGGAGGGGAGGGGAGGGGAGGGGAGGGGAGGGGAGGGGAGGGGAGGGGAGGCGGTCAGGCCGGCGCGGACGGGGATGGGACGTCCACTCAACTTGCAGGTGTATAACGCCGGGGCCGCGGGGAGGGGGAGGTGAGGGGGCGCACTCTCTCCACACCTAGAAGGCCGTAGCCGAGGACAAAGTTATCTGCGGAGAACGGGAGAGGGAGGGGGGTTACTGTCCCCTGCGGACCCGGGGAGGGGCTGAGGCCGGGCTAGGCACGGCGGTAGGTGTATGTGCGCGAGTGTGTGGAGGTGAGTGTGTGTGTGTGCGCCTGGGTCACAGTCAGGAAATGGATGGTGCTCTATCATACGTCCGGCGGACTTGCCCGCCCGCTGCCCTGCTGCCCTGCTCCGGGCTGGAGAGGGCGATCCAGGCGGCAGACAGTCGGACGGAGAGCCCGACAGACGGACAGACCGGCCCACCGACAGACGGGTCGAATCGGCAGGCAGGGAGATACCCGGAGCGACCCGGAGGGCATTTGTAAAAATGTAGGTCTGCGCCACGCCACGCCACGCCACGCCACGTGACACCGCGCCCGGCCGCGCGCCCCGCAGTCCGGAGTGCGGATGTGTCTTGCTCAGGGCCTTTATTACCCCTGCCCTGTGTCATGGCCTCGTGGGCTCATGGGCTCCCTGAGCGCTCTGCGGAAGGCCCACCTCGACACTGCCGGCCGGGCCGGGCCGGGCCGAGACACTGCCGGGGAACTGCCGGCGTGGCGGGCACTCGGGGGGCTCCAGCGATGGGGCCGCCAGGGCCGCCAGACTGGGGCACTGCACTGTGTCCTCGACGTCCTCGACCTCGGCCCAGCCGGCAGTGGGCCTCGTTTCGTCCTCGTTCCCATCCACCTCACACTGCAGGGCCGCACACAAACCAACTTGCTTTTACACGACCAAAATAAGCTCGTTTTGTGTCTTTGTTTTGGTTCTTTTTTCTTAAATTTAAATGGGATTTTTTTAATTGTTTGATTATTGTTTTTGATGCGGTTCTTTTTTGACACGTTACTTTTAGTATTGTTGATTTTGGAGTTGTTTTGGGCGTCGGGGGGTTGAATGCAGGCCTTCACCCTTGGGGATCGAGGACCAACACAACGATCATTTGTAGGCGGCGCGAAACATGATCTGGGCCGGGCAGGGGCGGCACCGGGGGCGGCACCGGGGGCGGCACCGGGGGCGGTGGGGGTGGGGGAGATGGATGGATAGGTGCAGACGTGGCGCTGGAGCAGGGAGGGGCGCGTTGCCCTGCTGGGACACTGCTTGGCCTCGCGGGGGATCTGTTCCCGCCCGGAGCACTCTGCACTGGGCACCGACGGCGCAGCCCGGCAGTCCTACCCCGTTCCCGTCAGCAGGCCGGGTTGCTTTTCTGGCAGGTCTTCTTCGATCCGGCTGCAAATTCCCTGTCGTGAAATCACTTACCTATGACTTTGCTCCATTGCGCGGGCGGTCTCCAATCCGGGTAGTGCTTGGGGAAGCGGTCCCTGGACCAGAAGGTGTGCATCACCATCTTGTACACCGTCAGCTTGTCCGGCTGGCACGAGGCGTCCGCGTCCGCGGGGCCGGCGGCCGAGCCGGGCCCCACCAGCACGGCCAGGGCCAGGACCAGGGCGGCCAGCGCGAGCACCCAAGCGCGCGCCATGGCCCTCCACCTGCACGCACAGACAGACAGAGGGGTAGAGTGAGTTGCAGGCAGACAGACACTCCGGGACCTTGTCCACGGGTTCAAACACCGACACCCGCCAATTTTCGCTTATCACGTTCTTCGAAAGAAGAAGGCACGCGCCCTCCGGTCCCTCCATTGACAGGCACTTTGTTGTTCTCCTGTTTCTTTAGGGGGGAAAAGATCGTCAAGTTTTATACCCATTGTCAAGACGAGGGAGATGTATGGTCACCGGGCCCAGTCAAACCTGTAGTGCCCCCTCCCCGCCCCGCTCCGCCCCGCCCCGTCGAGTCCCTTGTGACAGCCAGCAGCCTCCCCTCCACAATATATCATCTTCTTTTCGAGCCGCGCCTGGCCGGGCCGTCCCCCGTGCCACTATTCATATGCAAGTCGATTTTGCCCCGCAGCCCCGCCACTAGAAGGCCACGCCTGTTTTGCAATTTTCCGCTCGTACGTGCGGCAGAGTGCTGCGGCGCGGTTTTAGGCTCGGCGGGCGACGCGGCGGAGGCGGCGGAGGCGGCGGAGGCGGCGGAGGCGGCGGAGGCGGCGGAGGCGGCGGAGGCGGCGGAGGCGGCGGAGGCGGCGGAGGCGGCGGAGGCGGCGGAGGCGGCGGAGGCCCACGACAACAAGCCATTCCGCCCTTCTGCTCGGGAATAAGAAAGAGCGAGCAGCGCGCGGCGCAGCGGCGCCCTCTGTCGGAGGAAATGTCAATAATGAACGAGTGGCTGGGTGGAATAAGGGGCTGGCTGCAGAGCGCTGCAGACGCACGTCTCTCTCTCTTTCTCTCGTACTCTAGGGGCGTCGCGTGTGAGTGCGAGAGAGAGAGAGAGAGAGAGAGAGAGCGACGGAGCCTCCCGGTGCCGGGGGCAGCAATGCGGGTGGGACGGGAATCGGTGTCGAACGCCCACAATGGACCCGCGGACGCGAACCCGCGCGGCCGCCGCCGCTGCCTCTTCGGAGTTGGGTAGGTTGGGTGCCGCCAGCGCGAACAGCGCGGCCGCGGTGGGGACAAAATCCAAAGGCGGAATTTGACTACAGCAAAGTCGGAGCTGTGCACGAGAGCGCGTCAGATCAGGCAGGCCAGATCGGTCACAGCGTTTGTAGAGAACAGCGCGTCTGCCGAGGGTTTCTCACGAGTCCGTCTTCTCGCTGTCTCTCTCGCACCCTCACGGAACGCCCCAGGCACAGGAGTGCGACAGGGCGACAAAACGACTTTGTGGAATCGGGTGTTAGCGCGCGCAAGGAGCGCCGCCACGCCGCGGCCTCGCTCGGCGCGTCATTCATTCGGAAACGACCCGCAAACTTGGGGCCGACAATGTGTTCCAAATGTAAGGGGGATCGAGTATGGACGCGCAGGGAGAGAGGGGGGGGGAGTGTGACCCGGCCACGCCGAAGTTGGCGCGCCAGCCAAACAATCCCCGTATATCCAATCCAGCCGCACCTTGGCCCGGCTGCCCGGCCAGGCACCGCCAGGGCACCGCCAGGGCACCGCCAGGGCACCGCCGCCTCGCCTCGCCGTTCCAGCTCCAGCTCCAGCGCAGCAGCCTGTTATCGTGGAGGCCCTCGCCTGGAACCGCGGCCAGCCACGGCAGCCACCAGGCAGGGCACGGCCTCCTCGGAGGCTAACGCGATCCACAGGTGCAAGATTTATCGCAGAACACACGCACACACCTGCAGTCCGGCACACGGACGCACCGTGATGAATGCGCCGGGAACATTAGCCCGGCTCGGCGGCAATGCTGGCGGATCGCGGCCTCGCTGAAATACGCGAGTGGCGGCCGAGCTGAGAGCAAGGCTGAGAGCGCCCGGGGGCTTTCGGCTCCAGCCGGCTTCAGCCACCCCCCGGCCGGCTGGACTCTCTGGGTCTGACTAATTCCTTAGGTCCGTGGCCCTTTCTTTCTCAGCTCTCTCCACCTCCCAGGCGCGCGCCAGTCTTTTGACAACAGGCTCGCACTTGAAACTCGTGCGCGCCTGCCTTTATTTTCAGTCGGTTTCTGCGCGGCGCGGGCAGCCAGCGGTTTGATTCCGAGCAGTGCCCTCAGCGGCTCCGTCTCTGCCGCAACTCCGCGCGACGCCCCGTGAGTGCGAGAGAGACAGCGAGGCGAGGGAGCTGTCCGGGATCGAGGTGCTGGCCACCGGCCGCCGCGCGACGAGGCGACGACAAACAGACGACGGGCAGGCGGTCCTCGGCCTCCTCGCGGTGCGTGTGGCGCGGTATGCGACCTGGGGGGCGGCGGGGGCGGCGGGGCGAAAACGAGAGGCGGTACTCATTCACCGGTAGCCCCCTCCCCCCCTGGCCGGTCCCTTGTATTTTATTTCTGGCAGTCGCCGCGTTCCCCACTGCCCCCCTTCCGCGCCCGCGGCGGTGCGCGCCGTGCCACGCCGTGCCGGCCGTGCGGGACTGGGACTCGGACTGCGGGGGTGGGTTGGGTGCGTACAGTCTGGGCCCGTGTCTGCCTTCGCGGACCGCCGCCGTGTCATGTGTGTTGGAAACGCTGAGAAAACACACAAAAGCCCGCCGGTGCGGCCCGGCGGTCTTGCCGGCCATCGGCATGGCCATCGGCCTTCAGCCTTCAGACGCCACCGTCTCCGTCGCCGCCGTCGCACTCGACGAGACGCTGCGCGGAACCGCCGTGCAGACCGCCACGTGGGCCTCGATGTCTCCGTCTCTCTTTCTCTCCGTCGCGACGCCGCCCTCCGCTCCGCGAGCCGCGAGCAACGAAGACGACGGATGCACGTTGCTCGCTCGCGCCCGCCCGGCTGGGTCCACGCCGAGGCCCACGGGAACCAAAGGCCGCGACGACGACGGACAGACAGACAGACAGACAGACAGACAGACAGACAGACAGACAGACAGACAGATGGACGCGCTGGGGGAGGCTCGTGTGATTCCCGATAGATATCAGCTTGATGGATCATCATTATTTTCGTCCTTCGCTTTTTCTTTCCCTTTCCGCTTTGATTTTCATTTACATAGCGCGCAGCGCGCGGTGACGAAGGGCGCGGGTGCAAAAAAAAAGAGGGGGAGGGCTGACAGGCGGAACCGGGGACGTGCACGATTCCCCCCTGGAGCGCCTGGCGGGTAGGCAACCCGAGTGCAGGGCTGTGTACGTTTTGCCTACCGTCCATTACCATTACGGGCTGGACCACAACTGGGGCGCCTGACTGCGAGAGGGAGCATGCAGCCGCGTGAGGTTCTTCTCCGCCGGGATAAAGTGTCACCTTGTAAGGACGGCCATGTCTCGTTGTGCAGTGCAGGAGGGCATGTGTCGGGCCCCAAATAATGGCACATGATCAGTTGCGGTCTAGCCCGTAATGGTAATGGTAATGAGGGTAGGCAAACTGAGTGCAGCGGTGTGTTCGTTTAGGCGCCCTTGTGGACTTGCAGCGTGTATGTGCAAGCAATCCTGCCTGCGTCACAAGCAACAACAAACTGCATCACTGGCGAGGACGCCGGCCCCACCGGCTGCACGTCGCCGACGCCGGGTCGCTCACCTGAGGCCTACACTGTAGCCGCAGCAGCCGGCACCGCTATCCAGTCAACCACGGACGCACTGCACTGACACTGTAAACACGTAAAGCCTGGCCGGCGAGTCGCTGCCGATGGCCAGGCTGCGCGCGGCGTGGCGCTGCGCGGCGCTGCGCGTCTTTCGCGGCGTGGGGCGGACCGGCGGCCTCCTCGCGCGGCGTGGGCGGGGGCGGCGTGCTTCCGTCTGCGTGCAGCTCGGGGGCCGGACCGCTACTGCCGCCGCGCGCCGTGCCGCCGGGCCGGCCCGGCTCGCCCGCCGCCAGCGCCGCCACCCCGGCCAGCCAACCCCCGGCAGCCCTCGCCAGCCCCCACCACCGCAACAAGCGCCGGCACAAAAAGCGCGCCAAACCGCGGCCCCTTCGAACCGCTTCGAACGGCGCGGAACAGGACCGCCAACACCAACCGACACCGCCGCTCTGTCTCTCTCACACTCGCGCGGGACGCCGAGAGCAAGAGAGACAGAGCGTTCGGAATGAGGTTGCCGATTGCCCGTGTGACGTTCCAGGCAGGTCCACGGGGGAAGGGTGCGAAGAGGGAGCGACCGCACTCGGCACACAGGACCGGTAGAAACAGTGCTGCAACGGCTTGCCCGTCCAGGGAGCACCATAACGTTCCGTCCATTGAACAAAGCATGCGAAATACGTTTTCCGAGTCATGGGAACGCACGCGCGCGTGTATGTGAGCGTACCTCGAAATCTAAAGATGTCGAGCATTGTGTGGAATTGGTGGATTCGTGGCTGACCTTCAAAGGCCCCTCCCCTGCTGAGCTCAGCTCGCCCGCTGTACCGCGGCCGATTGGACCAAAACTGTTGTGCGAGAAACGCTGGTACAGCCCCCCACCCCGAACCCGTCCAGCGCAGCGAGGACGCACGCAGCAGTGCAGGTACGCCGGGAAGTAAAAAAAATTGCGTCCGCGTTAATTCGGCAACCCGAGGCAGCGCGAGGCAGCGTACCCCAGCAGTCGTAAAAAGCAGCGGAATTAGGGCACGAGAAAAAAAGGGAGAGAAGTTGGGACAAACACTCGTGCCGCGGCGCCCCATCTTTTCATTACCGCACTGCCAACGTTGCCACGTCTATCGTGGTTTATTGTTCCAGCAGAAGTAAATTTTAAAAGCGGCCTCATGGCCCCGGGCCCCAAGTTGGCCAGCCTGCATAATAACAAAAGGTTGGCGCGAACAGAGCAGCCCGCGCGGTACTGCGTGGGGTGGTGGTTGCGCGGGCCGGGGAGGAGGGAGGGGGAAGGGGGCGTAACAACGCCTAGAGGCGCCAAAACAAAGTGAGGCACTCGGCGGAGTCGCCGGGGCGACGGCGCGACAGGCAGGAAGCGTTTTCCGAGCGCCGCTTGGGGTTATTTCACCTGCAGTCTTTTCTCTGCCGGGCGCACGCTCTCTACTTTCTCGTTTTGGATTATGAGGGAGCATAAAGACTGGAAGAATAAAAATGATAAACTCTGCAGAACGTACTTCAAGCCCGTGTGGGTGCACGGTGCACGCAGGTGGGGTTGCAGCTGTTTCGAGTTGGCCTGTCGGTCTCCGAACCGAAAAGGCCAGCGTGTTTTGTGTTTCTTTCCCTTTTTGTTTTTTGTGTTTTTATTGCAGTCCAGCCGTCCGGGTACCTCCGGCCCGGCGGTCCGGTCCGGTCCGGTCCGGTCCGGTCGGTACGACCTGCGCTCCGTCCACGGTGCGCAAGGATTCGCCCTTCGTCCCGCCGTGGGCGCCGTGCTTCCCTTGCGGGACTTGTACCCGCGCCGTATTGGCAGACTCATTCCTTTCCCCAGGTACACCTCCATTTCTTTTTGCTGGCGCTGGCAGTGCGCGCTGGCGTGCTCGCAGCTCTCAGCTCGCACCATGGCTCGCACTGGGCCAGAAGTCAAAGTCAAAGCCCTTCCACGCGCAGCCCTCCAACTTGCGGACGGTTTGGTAGTCGTTGTCGCGGTGCCGTGCGGTGCGGCACGACACGGCAGGGCAGCCCCAACTTTGGACGTCGCTTTGGAGCCTCGCCGGCCTCCGCCAGGTGAGCGTTCCCACCGCGCGCTCCGAGGACCCCAGGACCCGACGACCCACAGGCCGGAGCAGGCGACGCCGATGGCCGGGAATGGCTCCGAGCTCCGTAATCGCGCCGGCTAATGTTTCGTTAACGCCGCCCCGATAGAGCCTGGCGGCCTTCGCGTCGTCGCCGTCGTGCCCCACGGCAGCCGCGGCACTTCGCGCGTCCGGGAATACCCCGCGCGACAGCGCCGCTCGGTGCCGGGGTATCGCCGCCCCCATCTCCCGGAAGGTAGGCCACCCAACGGACGCCGGGCACGCGCCGCCGGCCTGCCGTCAAGGCTCACCGGCCGTCACAGTCAAGGAGGCAGGGGACGGCTGTGTCGCGTCGCGCGTCGCCGGCAAGCGGAACCAGGCGATACCCCGCGCCCCAGCGGCCCGATTGGTTGTCCATGACATCAGAGAGGTACCAGAAAGGTATCATTGACATGATCGTCTGCAATTTCGCCCTGCTGGTACCTGCTGCGACTGCGCACTGCCGTGCCCCTCGTTGTACCCGTCCAGGTTGACGGCGGCCTGGAACTCGGCGTCGTTCTTGTCGGCCAGCCTGCACCGCGTCCGGTAAATTCGTGTCAGTGTCAGGCGCTCAAAAACGGCTTTACGCGTTGCGGGCTGTGTGCTGCGGGCGGCCTTCCTAGCGAATTGGGCTGCGCGCCGCGCGGGGGAAAAAAATCGCATGACTTGGGTGGAGTTTCAAAACGGGTGGCCTGGCCGGCCGCCACGGAGGCGGAGGCCCGCCACTGCAGGCCACACGACAAACGGAGCGATCCGTGAACGAGAATGGAAGAAAAAAATGAGTATTGGCAAAAGTAGGGAAGAAGTAGATCCGCGGAGGAGAGTGATGAAAAGATAGCCCGGCTAATAACGCCAACGGCCTGGATGAGGCTGGATAAGCTGGTTGGCTCTGCCGATAATGAGTCGGACGAGGACGGCTTCTTTCCTTTTCTTACTGGCGGACAATCAATGGGCTCGCGATTCATTCCACACTTTCGGTTTCGCTTTCGACATGGCGGTGGCGCTGCGGGGTGGTTCCGAACAGCGCTTTAGTCAGTCTCACTCCCTCGCACCCTCACGGGGCGGCCCTCTAGTGCGAGAGAGAGAGAGAGAGACCTCGACAACAGTGTCCGCTGGGGGGCTCCCATGGTCCGGCCTGGTCCGGCCCGCCAGACGTTGCAGCCGATGTTTGTTTTGCGCCACCGCGCGCCACGCCAGACGCCAGTCTCGCCACGCACACCAGTCTGCACGCCGTTTTTGCGCCCTGCGATGTAAGCAGCAGCCGGCAGCAAGCCAGCAGCGCCTCCGCGAAAGGAGGCCGAAAACGGCGACGTCCCCAGCGCAAGCTCAGCGCGCCCTGCGGAGGGCTAATGACTAAATGGCTTCAGCTTCAGCAGGCGCAATAAGGTCTCCGCTCGCCGTGTTCCGACGGCCGTATTTGAGTCAATTGGACTCGGCGAGGGGTTTCATGGGATGGGAAGCTTTCCGGGGGTTCATGACCCTCCCCCTCCCCCTCCGCCTCCCGGCTCGGCCCGTCCCTCGCGACGGCGCCTGGCCTGGCCTGGCCTGGCGCGGCGCAACGGGAAGTTGTCTACAGGCTGGCCTAATAAGGTGACGAATCACTCTAGATGAGTTTTCCCAGGAAAGGGAAGGGATTTTGCAACGTTCCGGCCCGTTCCTCGCCCCGGTGGCCCAGGGCCTGGAGGGCCTGGAGGGCCTGGAGCTGGAGGGCCCCGCTGCTGGGCACCCATGCACGCCGGCCGGGGCGGCCCGGGGTTGACATAGGTCGGAAGTGACGTCCCTCCGTCCCTGCCTCCTTCCTTCCCTCCTTCCTTCCCGCTGCCGGCCGCTCTAGTTAGGCCCTTGCGTGGTCCTGGGCCTGCAGCCCCCTCCGGCCTCGCCCCGCCCCCGCCCTGCCCCCGCCCTGCCCCCGGCCCGCCCCCTCCCGCGCGGCGCGGCCGCCCCCCTGCCGCCGCCCGACCGGCCCCTATAAAGCACTAGCGGCGGGCCCTCCCCGTTTGTTCAGTGGATAACTCCGGTAGAATCATGGCATCCCTGGTGAGTCTTTCTTCGCGCTAGTCCGGTCGGTGCAGTGCGGGGCGGTGGACAGTGTCCGGCGCCTTGTCTTGTCCACTGGCCGAGAAGAAAAGCCTCGTCCCTCATCGCGGGCAACGTGTTTGCTCCACGGTCATTCGAACCGGGATCGACGTCACTGCCTCAATGTTTTGTGTCGAGCTTCTCGTGTGCCGTTACCTCAGCGCTTGTCTGTGTTTTGTTCATGACGGAAATGATATTCTATCCGAACCATTCGGACTTTCCGGAAAACCTTGGCGTCGTTAAGGACCGCGAACAGGCCTGCATCTGGGGCGACAAAAGCCGGCAAAAGCGCGGGGGGCGCTGACGCCATGCGCCACCCACATCCTCTTGTAGTGCCAGAAGCAGGCTGGGCTGCAGTAACGGCAAGTTGGCTTTGCATGCCGGTCGTTGCTGTGGAGCAGAGAGTAGTCGATCCCCCCCCCCCCTTTTCCACTCCTTTCCCCCCAGTCCCGGCATGACTGGACAGTGTTCGCTGCTCCGCGACGCTTGCGCCTGTCTCATGGCGTTTTGCGTTTTTTAATCCTCTCAGCCGCACTTTTTCTTCCCCCTTTCGTTTGCCTCCGGTTCGGTTTCGGTTTCACTGGCGCCACTGGCGCTAAACGGCGCGTTGCGAGGCGGTCCAGTGACTGCACTCCAGTGACTGGACTCCAGTGACTGGACTCCAGTCCCCGGCCGCGGCGCCCCGGTCAAGCGGTTTCTGAACGTGTAGCCCGAGGGGGAAACGACTTCGGTTATCCGATGTACAGCAAATTGGTTATCCGCTATCCGGATAACTAGAAATTTCGAAGTAATCCGGGGAAATTCTGAGGTAATCCGGGGTAATCCGAGAAAATTTTGAGGTAATCCGGGGTTATCCAATGGTAATCCTGGAAAATTTTCGATGTAATCCGGAGGTAATCCGCGGGTTATCCGGGGTTATCCCTATCCGATGTACACAAAATTTCTCGGTCGTTTCCCCCTCGGTGTAGCCCCTTTTTATACGCTAAGTGCTTTAGCCTAGGCCCTATAGGGAGAGGGAGGACGCACGGGGCGATGCACATGCATTCTCTCACTTATCCACCGTGTGCTTGAGCCAGTCCCTGTCCCGCGTGCTGGTGCTGCTCCTGGTGTCCGCGTCCACCCTCGCCGTGCCCAGGCCGCTGAGGGTGCAGGTGGCACCGGGCATGGAGGACGACGACGGCTCGGCCGCCGAGCTGGCCGACGGCGAGGATGGCGACGACGCGAGCGCGGAGGCGGACTCGACGGGCACCCGGCCCGTCGCCATCCTGGAGCACCGCCAGGAGCTGCAGGACGACGGCACGTTCAACTACGCCTTCTCCGCGGACAACGGCCTGACGCAGAATGAGGTAGGGGCGGGTGTCTCTTGCGACCCGCGGCCGCGGCCGCGGCCTCCGCTCGCCAGAAGCTCACTCCAACCGCTTTTGCGCAGGCCTTCCACCCCGACGGCTCCCGGACGGGCTCGTACTCGTACGTGGACCCCAAGGGCGAGACCATCCTCGTCAAGTACCGCGCCGACCGCTTCGGCTTCCACGTGTTGGACGGCTCCACCATCCCCAGCACGCCGCCGCACGTCGCCAGTGCCCCCGCCCCCGCGCCCGCCCCCAGAGGGGCCCCGCAGCAGGCCGCGTCGGACTATGTGAGTACACGCGCTCGTTCCGGCGGTGCCTGAGGGCTAAAGCAACGAGGGCCGGCCCGGGAGTTGGCGGTTCGTGGTTCGCTGCGGGACTGCTTAGCCCAGGCTTAGCCCGCTTCATCGCGGCATCGCCAAGGACTGATCAAGAGTGTGCTCAGTGACCGTGTTGCAGGCGTCGCGCGGAGTGCAGGGCGTGCTGGACCCCAACTACTTCGGCTTCCCCAGCAGCGGCGGGCTCAAGACGTCGCCGTCCGGCACGTCGGGCAAGGTCAAGGCGGCCGTCAAGGCGGGCAAGGCCGGCGTCAAGGCCGGCGTCAAGGGCAGCAAGAGCGCCGCGCGTGCGCGCAGCAGCGCCAGCAGCAGCATGCACTTCCTGCAGCGTGAGGCGCGCGAAGCCTTCGTCAGCGACCTGGACGGAGACGTGGACGTCGACGAGTCGCGCCTCGCGCTGAGGACGGTGCGCGCGCCGCCCGGCATGGCCTCGCCCGGCATGGCCTCGCCCGGCATGGCCTCGCCCGGCATGGCCTCGCCCGGCATGGCCTCGCCCGGCATGGCCTCGCCCAGGATGATGGCTCCCAGAGGGGTGGCGCCCAGGATGGTGGCGGCGGCAGCCAGCGCCAACGACGTGGACGCGGGCAGCGACGGCTCGGCGGACGACCACCACGCCCTCAAGTACGACGACGGCAATTACGACGCACATGCCACCAAGTACGACGACGGCAGCTACGACACGCACGCCGCGAAGTACGACGACGGCAGCTACGAGCCCCACGCCGCCAAGTACGACGACGGCAGCTACGAACCGCACGCCGCCAAATATGACGACGGCAGCTACACCAAGCACGCCGGGCTCTACGACGACGGCAGCTACGAGCCCCACGCCGCCAAGTACGACGACGGCAGCTACGAGAAGTACGCCAGGATGTACGACGACGGCAGCTACAAGGGCGGCGGCGAGGGCGAGGGCGAGAGCGGGGTGCATGAGGATGGCGACGGCGACGGTTACCAATGACTCGCCCCGGCGGCTCTGGAAGCCTCTCACTCGCCCGTCTCGCGTACCGTTGGGTACCACGAAGAGCTCGTCGCGGCTGCGGCCGAGACTCGAACCCGGGATCACGACCACGAGGACCACGAGCTCCTTGACTGGCACAGGCTCGACGCCGTCGGTACCCGTCTTTCTCTTGCTCATGGGTTCCCCCGCTTGTTCGGGCTGCCCGTCTAGAAGGCAGGAGGATTACTCCTCCTTTCACTAGCATCAATTGTCTCATTAAAATCATATGGAACATTCAACAATTTGATTGAATCTTTGGGGAAGTTTTACAAAAGCCGTCAAAAAGACGATCGATGAACGAGATCAAATACTAGACACCTGTAGATATGGACTAAAATAAATAATCAGATATTTTTCTACTCATGGTTTGTGCTTTTGTGTTCTTCTTCCATTTGAAGGTGAGGGATTGTGTAATCAAGAAACTCATAAACTCAGAAGTATTTCATATTTTCAAGGTAACAAAATTTGTCTAACGGGACAAAACAGCTTACAACAATGTAACAATCACAACTGATTAGAAATAACAACTTTAAAAAGACAATATACATGCATCTTTGACAAGTGTGTGAGCATAGCATGCAACTAAAAACATCTCCTAAACACGCCAGAAAATTAAAAATGGGAGGATCCAAGGCAGCAGATACTTCAATAATATGCAAAATACTAAATCCAGTTACACTTGGAAAATTAAATGAACTCCCCATGATTGTTAAGATAACAAACCGCTCAAAACATGATATGAAAAGTAACAAATGCTTCACTAGAACTGTGGAACAAAGCAGTCTATTCTCGTATATAATTTTATATTTTAGCCTCTTGCAGACAAATATGGCAAGCCTCATATCTCCTCAGCTTCCGTAAGTCAATTTTCATATCTGTAAAGCAGGCATTATTTTTAGAACCCAAAGTGAAACAGAAAATGACAGAAACGATATCAAAACACTCAATTTCCACAAATAGTGAAGTACACTTCATAACCAGCAGATTTTATGGCACTTAAGGTAAAAATATTTATATTACTGGAATAGAAAATGACATTCATTTTTATTTCATTTTTGAAAATTGTATTTTCAGTCTTTCTCTAAACAGTTGTGCTCAGCAAAACACATTAGGGTAAATTGAATTACAAAAATGGGACACACACAATCAGGTGGTAGGACAAAAATTGTGAGTACACAGAACATTTCATCAGCAGTAAGTTTGATCACATCTCGGCTGAATTTTCACTTCCAAGGGGAATATTAAAAACAACTGGTATTGTCACATAGTATAAAGGACCATTACACATTTGTGCAGCACAACAATTCAGGCATGCACTTTTTTGTTACATAATTGTTAATTTTTGTCTTTTGAAAGTGAAGTTTTGAGGTACATGCAGGCTCTTTGTTTCAATTCACATGGACTTGAACTACTGCCATCTGGATGATAAGACAGAAAAATTCAACCAACACAACCATACTGAAAAAATACATTTCCTATTTAAAAAAAATAAATCAACATGACAGCATTCCAGACTAAGAACATATGAACACACATACAGAACGTTCCTTGCGACCCCCCCTCTAAAAGAGGAGTACAATTTCTACTTTTTACCCACAGATAAAATTCAGATACATCCCAAAGCATTTCCCCTTGATTTGAAACAAAAGGCTATGTGCTCTGTTTCCATGTGCGACTAGATACAACAGAGGCAAATCATTTCACGCCAGGACGATCATTATTGGGCAACTAAGTCTGTTCAGATGTTGATGTCAACCTAGAAGAATGAAGTACCTTGAGATCAAACACCAAACTTTGCAGAAGTTTGGCTAAGAGTGACAAAGAGAACAAACAAAAACTCACAGTAGTCATGTACCAAGGAGCTTCAATTTGTTAAGAAGATAGTTCAATCTTTCATTTGGGACATTTGATAGAACAGGTCCTCCACCAAAGAAAGCTTCCCATGTTTCTGGAGGTTGTTGCTGAGAGTCGCTAATTTTCTTCTGTTCTTCCTCATCCTTCCTTCTCTTTTCCTCCTTTTCAGCAGCTTCAGCCGCTTCTGCAGCTTTTTTGGCTTTCGCCGCCTCCTCTTCCTCTTTCATTCGGCGTTCAGCAAACTTGACAGTGGCCAAATGGAGCTTACTTAAATAGTCAGGAAAACCTGTATAAATAGAAGGTCTCCCAATTAAACTTCGAGTTAAAGTTTGAAAGATGTAAAGAAACAAATTCTGTCCAATCCAAATATGTGTACCTGTAGCTGTGGCCCATGAAGCAAAAGCAGATGGAAATACGAGCCCAGGGTTATCAAAGTAAGTCATACTAAACTCCAAACCAGGCTGAAAAATGAGACCATGGTCAGTCAGGCAGTTCCAAAATAGACAACTAGGCAGAGAAACAAATAAATCATCAAACTGCTGAACTGACTTACCTTTTCCAAATCTGACAGGGGTTTGATCACTATAATAGACCAGTATTCAGTAACTCTTTGTTTTCCTGACTTAACAGGAGCAGATTGGTGTTCAGTGTTCTGATTCACAAAGACAATAACATTCTGCTCTTCATCTATTATGTATCGCCTCTTATAAACATAATCTCTGTTTGACATCATTCTCTGAAAGAAAAATATTGAAAATCGGATTTTATTTACAGTATCTAAAGAAAATACGTAAGAAAGTAAATATTCTCAAAAATGCATACAGGCCATTGCATTTCCCAATATACAACTTCACTGTTTGACTGTGGATCACGTTCCAAAACATCTAGTACAACTGCAGATGAATCCCATTCTCTTCGAAATTCAGTATCTATATGAACTTTCAGAAAGTCAACTGCTGTAATATCGTCATAAGTCCCATAAACTGTAAAAGATAGAGGGATTAGAGCAACAGACTAGAAGGTCCAAAACAGGGAAAAACTCAACTGTCAAAAAGAAGAAAGATTCCAAACCTTTATATTCATACAGTCCTTCACCTCTGTGGTTTGGAACTTCTCTTCTCCAAACCAGTAAAGTTCCTTGCTGAATGAACAACTCCCAAGGATCTTCAGCTGCAGGAGGATACAAAATATAATGATAAAACAAGAAAAAATGGCATCCAATGAGTAAGTTCCACTGCACAAGACAAGAAGCACTCACGTCGGTCGTCATGGAAATGGGAAGGACAAGAGAGCAGTGGCGCTTTCTTCCTCTCAGAGGGTTTGCATGGAGTCAATGAAGAACCACACGTATGCTTTTTGAGGCATTCAACGGCTTCAAGCTCATTGGAATACCTAAAAAGAAAAAAACAGACTGCTGACTATCCAAAAATTAGCAAACCTGCTTTAGTTGCACTCACAGAACATACCTTAACAAATATTCAGAGGGAATCCGCTCTTCTTTCCAACAGAAAATTGGCATGACACTTGCAGACATAAGGAAGTTTTGAGAGCGGCTCAACAAAGAGGCTCGTACCCGGATCAAGAAGCGAGACAAGAGGCGGCTAATAAGTTCCCGGAGGAATGCACCACCACACAACTGGAAGTAAAAGACACCAGCCTGCTGGGTGCGATGAATTCGCAGCGCCATGACATACTCGACCTGAAACAGAACAGATGATCACATCAATGACAATCCTGGCCTAGGTCAAAGAATCAAAGAGGGTTTAACCTCCACGACCCTAACCTGTCTCGCACATGCACGGGTCACTCCCGCAGTGTGTTGCAAGAATCCTCGCCGCAGACGAGTGAACAAAGATTCGTGCCGACGGAAATCCGTTCGCAGTAAGCGAGTTTGAATTGCACATTCGCGCAACAAATTCGGAACCCGGCACTGTCCGTGGATGGCAAGACCTTGCACGAACCCGCGGTGACCGATCAGAAGCTGCCCGTAAAGTCGTCCGCAGTTCATTTTTCACAAACGCCTCCTCCAGGGGGAGGTGTGTCGCAGACCGCTGAGTTGGCGCTGTCCAAGTTTCTGGTTGTTACCAGCGGGAACGGCTTAAATCGACGACATTACTTCATTTTCGACGCAGATCAGTCACAAATATTTCCATCCATTCATCATTCATTTCTGCTATCAGTTTGGATACATGCCAACTGCAAACACCGAAAACTCCCCGACGTGTCTTGAAGGTGTCAGGATGACCGTTTGAAAGACATAAAGAATAGTATCAAACAGTTTTTAAACCTATTTCTCTATAAGCTGTTAGACATTTTAAATCAGTATTTATGAGGGGAAAGTAATCGGGTGAAAGAATGCTCTTCATGATGCTTTGTTGGACAGACTGATGGACTAGCAGGTTCAACCGTTCAAAGTAGTTTATTTAAGCTTATGCCCTTGAAAGAGTGGATCCTTCCGATGCTTCGTCGGTGGAAAAAGGTCTAAATGCCATTTCTTATTCTCTTCTGTGCATATTCAGCTCAGACCACAGTTATATCACTAGCTAGCAGACGAAGCTAAGCGCTCCCTATCGGACAAACGGCTCAACTAGAGAAACAAAACACAACTCAAAACAACCATTCGCGCCCTAAAGCCCTTTGCGCCGCACTGCAAGTTGGAACTTGTCTGTCTTTTCTCGTTGGACGCAGTTGGTCAGAGGATTGTGCATTGATTAAGTCTGATTAATCGCCATGGCGAGGGGCTCCCTAGTCGAAAATGGGGCTGACGAGGTGGGCCAAATGGAACGCAGGGAAGGGAGTATTGTCCGTGTCCGCATGAAGGATTTCGTGTAAGTACTCTGTTCAATATCCCTCATGCCCTGCTCTGGTAGCTCTGGTTAGGCTCTCGGGATGCGGGGAACCTGCTCACATCTCTTTGCTGTCGTGCGGGGTTACAAAGCAATCTTGCTTGGCTGTTATGTCTGAATGTCTTGTTGAACGTTCTTCAATGCAAGACAGTCAAACCTGTCACCGTGTCTTTGCTGCACCCATTCTGTTGCATGACTACCATCGATGTCGGTTGGAAGTTTATGTCGCGCCAAGAATTTCGTTTCTTGATTTTTAAATTATCTTTATTTTGACAGGACTTACGACAGTGTAGAGTGCGTTCCTGGAGAGTCTTTGAATGTTGTCATTGGTCCCAATGGAACAGGAAAGTCCACTATACTGTGTGCTATTGTTCTTGGTCTTGGTGGGAAGCCTGCCCATTTGGGCAAGCAGAATACAAGTGTAAGTATTTGAAAGTATCTTCTATCCATTTCACTAGCGTTGCTCCAAGCTTGAAGGAGCTGTGTGTTTTCTGAATGGTGTTAGTGTATTCCCCATCCCTAAATCTGTTGCAGATTCAAGACTTTATTAAATCAAATCACAGAGAGGCCCAGATAGAGATTGAGCTCTATCGGCACAGGAAAAATTCTGTTATTAAGAGGACCATCCATAACGATGGGAAAAGCATTTGGCATTTAAATGGACGTCAAGTTAACTTGAAAGATATAGAAGCAGAGACTAAGGCTTTAAATATCCAGATTGACAATCTTTGTCAAGTTCTCGCTCAAGACAGAGTCCAAGATTTTGCAAAGCTTAACAAACAAGAGTTACTTGAAGCAACCCAGAAGGCTGTAGGGAAGGAAGGCATGTCAGAGATACATGCCAACCTCAAAAATCTTCAAAAGAGACAGAAGGATCTTGAACAGCAACTTGTTGCAGACAAACACAGGCGAGACCAAGAACAAGAACATGTGGAAAGGTTGAAAGGAGCTGTTGAGAAGATGGAAAGACGAAGAGGAATAGAGGAGGAGGCTGAAGCTTGTCGCCTTAAGATGAGCTTAATGGAGTACAAGTCTAAACTTGAAGAAGTAAAACGCTTCAAAGAGCTTAAGAAGGAAGCGGAAAAGAATGTTGATAAAATAAAAGTCCAGATTGAGCCCTTCACCCAGAAAATTGCAGAAGCTGAGAGTAAACACAAAGAAGCTAAGAAAAAGCAGAATGGTATGGAACGGAGACTGGCTCATCAGTCAGACGCTGTGAAGGAACCTCGAGACCAGCTTGAGTCTATAAGACATGAAATACTTGAGCTTGAAGTGGACCTGGAGAAGCGGATGAAACAATCAGTCACTCAGCTGGATGATGAAGCCAAGGTGCGCCAAACTATTAGCAAATTCAAAAATGACATCAACAGTCTTGAGGGAACATCAGAAGCAGATAATAAAAACAGATGTAAGCAATTAAAGCAAGAAATGGCTCAGATGGGTCATCAAATTCAGGCAGCTGAAAATAAGAGATTTCAGATAGATAATGAAATTAGTGATCTTCAAAATCAGCTCAATGATGTTAATCGGCAGATATCAAAACTGAATAATGTTAAAGAGACACGTTTGAGGCAACTGAATGAATTCAGTCCTGATGCTTACCAGGCTGCCCTGTGGGTTGAGAAGAATAGAGGGCAGTTTCGGGCACCAGTATATTTACCTATGATGGTTGAACTTGATGTCAACCCTACGTATGCTAGATATGCAGAAAATGCTATTGGGCAAGCAGACTTAATTGCTTTTGTGTGTGAAAACAAAGAAGACATGAAAGACATTGTAGATGTCTGCAGGAAACAGAAAAAACTTAGAGTCAACGTGTTGCATGCGGACCCTGATTGCCCTCCTTCTAGGCCGCAATATAGTTTTGATCAAGTCAAGTAAGCCATAACTTTACTATATCGCATTTGTGAGGATAAATTTGTCAGGTTTTCATTTGCTTTAATTTTTGCAGGGCTCAGTTTCCACAATTTCATGGATATCTGATTGACTATATCAAAGGACCAACCACCTTGCTAAATTTCCTTTGCAACCGGAAAAGGTTTAATAATATTCCAGTGACTCTTTCAGAAGTTGAAGCTTCAGATACCTTCACTCTATATTATTCAGGTTAGTTTGAATTGTTTTCTAGATGTGTCTAGAATGTTTTGAGTAACTCCATAAAGATTAATTGCTAATTATTTTTTATTTCTACTCCAGGGGATTTAAGGAAAGGGCATCAAAGATCAAATTACCAGGCTGGACAAAAGATATATTTTTCAGACTTCCTTAATAGAGCTAAGTTTTTTTCACAAAATACTAATGATGCTGATAAAGATACTCTTCAGCAAAGGTATGTATACTAGAAGGAGAGGCACAGGAGCTGTTGAAAACACCTTTCTCTTATGCCCCACTGAATGTACATGTGTAACTATCATGCCTTTCGTGCTTAGTGCTGCCGAATTCAACACAAGGATTGCTCAAAAGCAAAGAGAAGCAGATGCTGTGAAGCAAAAGACACAATCAATTACGGAAGAAAGAGAAAATAAACGTAATGAAGTACACAAGCTGGAGCGGGCTGAGACAACTTTGCAGAATACCAAATTTCGTTTAGCCCAGAAAGAAAAGGAATTAGTCACTTTGGAAAGAAACAGGGTTAATCCTGATGTGATTAAGGCCAATTTTTCAAGCAAAGTTAAAGTGTGTATTAACAAATATTTCGTCTTTGTCACCTCATCACATTGATTTTCCGAGATTCAATAACTGTCTTGTTTTTCCTCCTAGGCTGCTACTTTGAAGCTCATTAATGCACAAGAAAATCTGTACAGCGCTTTGAAACAGCTTGACTCTCATGTGGTTGAAAACCAATTGATTGGGTTTGAAGTCCAAGCTGCCCGGTCTTTAGTAGAGAAAACTAAACAGTCTTGTGCTGCTGAGAAAGAGTTGCTAAGAAATGCAGAGGTACCCCTATTTTCATTTTTGGTCAATAATTGAATGAAGCCCTGCCAATCCATTTCCAGCTTTGATAACTTTTCTTTTCCTTTTTTTTTTTTTTTTTTATCTGACTGTTTACAGGCAGACCTTGAAAGTATAGGCAATGAGTTTGCAAAAATACGCACTGATGCAACAAAACAACTTCATGCCATTGAGAAGAAAAACTCAAATAGGAAACCCAACGATATATGGGTTGAGAACGAAGCATTGTTCTCAACCTTACCCAATACTATTGAAGAGTTAGAAACTCATATTGAAGATAAGTTGGCTCATGCCCAAATGCTTGGGGGAGGCAATGATGTATGTACTTGTCTTTTCTTTGTGGCTCAATTTATTTTTATTTTCAATTTTGTATCTGCATTTTATTACTAATATTTTTTATTCTAGGATGTCATTCGCCAATTTGAAGGGCATGTGAGAACATTAGATCAACTGCAAGTGAAAATTGCAGACAAAGAAGAGCAAACTGCCAACTTAGTGAGGGATATGGAAAACCGTGAGAATCAGTGGAGACAAGAGTTGAATGAGCTTGTTGATGCTATTTCATCTAATTTCAGCAGATATTTCAAAGAAATGAAATGTGCTGGTCAAGTTGACTTGTTTACTGGAAATAGTGAAGTAATTTCTTTTCTTTACCTCCATAGTTGCTTGTTGTATCTATCTCAGTTGCTGATTAATTCTAGAATTGTCCTTATGTCTGCAGCATGACTATGACAATTACGGCTTGAGAGTCCGGGTAAAGTTCCGTGACAATGAAGATTTGCAGGACTTGAATGCCCACACACAAAGTGGTGGGGAAAGGGCGGTATCCACTGCTATCTACATGTTAGCTTTGCAGGAGCTAACTCCAGCCCCATTTCGCTTAGTTGATGAAATCAATCAGGTATTGCCTTGAAGTCGTGGATGATAAGTTATGAAACAAATGACAATCTTACCACAATTTTTATTTTATTTGTTTCAGGGTATGGACTCAAAGAATGAGCGTAGGGTTTATGAACTCTTACTGCGCAGTACTAGTCGCCCAGGCACTCCTCAATATTTTCTTTTGACTCCAAAGGTCAGTTTTGTTTTACGGGTAGAAGGGATCAGGTGAAATTGAATTTATATTTGTTTCTGGTTCCTTTTCAGCTTCTCAAAGATATGGAGTACAATCCAGGCACAACTGTGTTATGTGTCATGAATTCAGCATGTGCTCCAAGTCACAAGGCTTGGGACTTGAACAAGTTCATTGAGTTAGCCAACAGAGCTAATGCTTAAGAATTATACCTGTTGTGTTAACTCCAGCAGGGTGTTTTTTTATGTTTCTTTTTATTTTAGGAATTTTGTTCACAAATTTTCAATGTCATTTTATTTTAAATTGTTCCATCTTGGAAACCTTATGGTGGCTAGTTTGTGCTTATGAGAATGGCCACCCCTCTTTCCTATTCTATGGAGGAATGTTTGTTTTTGCATTTCTTGTATTAGTAGTGATTATTTGCATTATATGATCTTAAAAAGTTTATAAATGTCATTTCATATGATAATGTATTTGTTTATTCACTGGTTACATTTTCATTTTGGTTCGTTTCTGGCACCAAGTTTGTTGTAGGTGCAAGATTACACTCTGTCTTGATTTCTTTACCATGTTGTTCTTCTACAAGTGGCTCTTGTTTTTTATTAATTGTGGGAGGTCGGTTCTCCCTCAAAGAGTAACTGTGTCCTGGCAATGTAGTCATCCAAGTGAGCATCCTAAGTTCAGTTAAGGAAAACCTTATTTGTAACAAGTATTGAAAGTTAAATACAACATGATGGGTAGAAACCACTGCAATTAGTAAAGGATACGATTTCTCTTCTTCCTCAGTCTTCAGAATATTTTTCAAAATAAATTTCTCCTTAAATTCATTTAGGAAAGATTCATTTTCAGTCCAATCAAGTTTCTCGTGGACTCCATCACTACCATAACGTTTATTATAGGCATCATAATGCACCTGTGAACAAGCCATAGAAGTATTTCAGAAATATTATTCCTTTTATAATATTGACCAGATTAATGCCGTACCTCTTCCAACATTAAGCCTAATCCAGGGGCCTTGGGGATATCAAGGGGATCGCTTTTAAATGCTTTCTGAATAGTTTCTTCCACGGTATAGCCTCTGAGAACGGCTATCGCCAACCCTATCATCTTACGGATATGATGCTGCATGAAACTTTGTCCTGAGAAAAAGGAAAGGCTAAATTATGTAGGGTCTGGAAAAGAATGAAAACAACACAATGCATTTTTAAATAACATGTGTCAACCTTTAACAGTCAAAATGATGTATTCCCTGTCACTTCTCACAAATGGCTCGCCGCAAGTAAATGTGTGCATGAAGCGTATAGCACTGGGATCCTTGAAACCCCTGAATCAAACACAAAAAATGTGATAAATATCTAGTCGCAGCTGAAACTTGAACAATGATGTAAATACCAGGAAACTTACTTCTTAAATGTGAAATTATGGAAGTTGTGTGTTCCAACATAGTTTTTCAGGACTTGATTAATTCTCTCCATGATTTCCTTAGAAATTCGGAATGATTCACTAGGCTCCTCCCCTGGAGGTGCAAATGCATACGTTGGTAAAACATAGGAGTAAGTCCTGGCATCACAATTCACCTTGGAATTGAAGCCTTTAGTGGTCCTTTTCATACATACAACTCGTATTTGGGGAGACAAATGTTCATTGATGGCTTGAATATCAGTGCCTTCAGCTAAAAGGAGATTGTTAGAATATTGATAATTAAAAGTACTGGTTTGATCATTGACACATTGGACCCACAGGATGTTTGAGATACTTACGAATTTTGAGAGAAACTACTTGTCGTACAGCTGAGACTCCTTTGTCTGTCCGAGCAGCTCGCTGAAATAGCATCATCTGCGGCTTCTCGTAGTACTCTTGAGAGAGAATACCAGCATTCTTCATTGCCAGTAGTAGATCTCCTTCAATTGTTTTAGCATCTGGATTTCTGTAGAAATAGAGATGATGTTTTCATGAGCAACATTACAGTGGATGTAAACTAAATATTATTTTCATTTTTCGTTTTCTTTGTACCTTTGCATTCCAAGGTAACCCCACCCTGAATACGAAAGCAATAGAACAACTTTTCTGCGTCGAATTTTTTGCTCTGTGACTTCTTGGCATACTTTTTGTTCCTCATTTTGAGGGAGGCTGGCTTCCTCTTCACATGCTTGGAGTTTCTCCTGACCATCGTTTTCATTTTCAGGGAGCCTTGCCTTCTTTACAGGTTCAACATCGCCGAAGAAAGTTTCTTCTTGCTGCCTCTTGGAAGGATTCATTCCTAAACCAATTAAAATAACAAACAAGAGAAAACATTAGAGAATTAGCCACAAGCCTGGTCATTTATTCGTTGTCAGTTCATGAAATGGAGAAGAAAGGTCCAAACCTAAGTGAGATACTCTATCCTTCCTGCAAATATTTATAGGTTGTAAGCGAGGCTATTCCTGACGATTTCAGCAGACGGTAAACAAAATTTGAAGACAATACTGCAAGAATAAGAAGGGATCAGAGAGACATTATTTTTTCCAATTTTTAAGCACGTCGTCTACCCTTTGAAGCAGTTTGCATGTAAATTCCACTCTACAAAAACACACACATGTGGACGTAAACTTCTGCCGGTGGGAGAGGGGGGTGGAGGTAGGAGGGGGAGAGGGGGAGTAGGAGCACCAACCTGCATGGAACATTGGAGAGTCAAACATGCACATGTAATGTTTCTTCCTCAAACAATCATGAATGTAGATGAAAATATTGTCTGAAATAAATTTAAGCATGACTTTTTAATCCATAAAATAGTTTTTTCCCTCCAAAACTACACTTTTTAAACCAAGCTGTGATTGGTATTACCCTCATTCATGTTTTTACTTCCATTCTTCTTCTTTGTTGTCATTTATGCCCTCGGTTCAGTTTGTTGTTTTTTGTTTTCGCCGGCATACGGAAGTTAAATATTGGCCGATATTCCTCACGATTATTGATCTGTTGAAATGGTAATTTGATGTAGATTGGATTTATTCTCCGTATCATTTTAAATGTACTGTTGATTCCACTGAACTAGCTACGATACAAAGCTTAACCTCCCCGTGAGGTACCTCATCTATTTAATTTAACATTAAGTTATGTCTCTCATATCTTCCGTCTTTTTGAGTCAGCCATATCTCTATTATTATTCCATGAACTACCACTCACCATTTCTCAACTTGTTTTTCTGCCTGGATGTATTTACACTCCTCTCGGTTGCTTGATAACTCTGATGTTTTCTTTCAGTATTCTTTACTACATAGGAAAGAAAATGCCCATGATGACAGCATTTGGACGGTTGCTTGGGGTAAAGTGACCAGGAAGGAGCAGGAAAAGGAGAATGGTGAAAATCATGACGAAAACTCCAGGTGAGGACACTTGATGAACAACGTCGTCTTTTTCTGAAAGCAACTTTAGGCAATTGGAACGCCTTATTCATGTCTTTCTTTTATTGTCAGAGACTCCATTCATCGTGATCCTCCTGGTGAATTCATTGTGACTGGGAGCGTTGATGATTTAGTGAAGGTATGGAGATTTCACAATGATCGCTTAGAACTGGAACACAGATTGGAAGGGCATGCCCTTGGAGTAGTATCTGTAGCCATTAGCTCTGATGGGAATAGTAAGTACCTCGTAAGTGTGACCAAATGAATCTTTATACCTTCTTGATTTTAATTCTTATGTTTCTCTTTATTTCCCCCCTCAGTGTGTGCATCAACATCATTAGATTCAACTTTGCGTCTTTGGGATCTTGTCTCTGGTGAAAAAATTGGTTCCATGGATGTTGGATCTGTAGATATTTGGACCTGCGCCTTCTCTCCCGATGACAAGTTTGTTATTTCTGGAAACCATGCTGGTAAAATTAATATGTATGGTGTTGAGTCAAAAAAACAAGAACAGGTTCTAGACACAAGAGGAAAGTTTGCACTGAGCATTGCTTATGTAAGTACTGTAGTTATGTTAACATTAATTGTTTCTTGTAACTTACTTTTGATGAGTTGGAATGATGTACTATTCTGTTATTATTGTTATACTTTTGTATTCCAGAGCCCTGATGGCAAGTATATTGCTAGTGGTGCTATTGATGGTATGATTGATATTTTTGATGTTGCGTCGGGGAAGTTGGTGCATGCCTTGGAAGGTCATGCTATGCCTATTCGGTCACTCTGTTTCTCACCAGACTCTCAACTCCTATTAACTGCTTCTGATGATGGTCATATGAAATTGTATGATGTGTAAGTAATTTTTCATTTCAACCAATTTTGCTTAGTTGCCCTCAATACAGTGATGACCTCAAACAACTGGTGTGCTTTATTTCAGGCAACATGCCAATGCTGTCGGCACACTCTCTGGACATGCTTCATGGGTACTCAGTGTTGCCTTTAGCCAGGATAAGAATCACTTTGTATCAAGTTCCTCTGATAACACAGTAAAGGTGTGGGAATTGAAAGAGCGCCAGTGCATAAGCACACTCTCTGTTCATACTGATCAGGTAAGTTTGTCTCTAGTCCTGAATTCTTTCTGAGAAGCCTCACTTGTTCTCTTTCATGAACAATTTGAAATTATCTTTGGATAAGGTGTCTTCTAACATTGGCTTAATGATTTCAGGTTTGGGGTGTGAAATACAATCCTGAAGGAAACAAAATTGTTTCTTGCTCTGCAGACAAGTCTATAAACATCTATGACTGCCCTACATAGTAATGTTTTAAGGGGAAAATAATTCAAACCTGTGATTTAATTTGTTTTAATTTTCCTACCTGTTGTGTATGACTGTATGCACAATTTCAAAATTTGTTAGATCAATTCTCAGCTTTTTTTTTTTGTTATTGCCTGCAGATGGAAAAAAAATGGTATCTGCAAAGACTCTGACCTCTCCCTATTTATTGTATATAATGCTGTATAATGATACATCGGGAAATAAATCAGAAAAATTTTATTGTTTGTTTTATTTTAATCACTCCTTAAAAACGAAATCCAGTATTTTGTATACAGTTCAATCGGGAGCTTTCCCGCATGATCAAGTTCGAGAACCCTGCGAAATGGGACCACTGTCCGACAAGAGGCAGACAGCCACAATCGAATGCTTTCTCGCTGCGAATGACACCACGATCCTCTCTCCTGGACCACCTTGGACACGAAAAGGCAAGCAGTAGACGCGGCGTAGGCCTTAGGCTCTGTCCCTTGCGGTGGTGTCACCGCGGCCACGACGGCGAGCGGCGCAGCGGCGAGCCCGTCCAATCTCTCCGCCCCCCCTCGCGGTCCTGAGGCTGAGGACCTGCCTACGTAACGGAGTGACGTCTGGCCGAGCTGGCGGAGACCACCACGGCGGCGTGCGCGGTGCGCGGCGGTCAAGGCCACCAGCACCGGCCGGGAGACATACTCCACTTTCCGCTGCGATGGGCGCGGCGTGGCACGGCACGGTCTCCACCTTGTCGCACCTCATCAAGCGCACCGCGGTGGCGGTGGGCCTAGCCGAGGGCCTAGCCGCAGTCGCGCGTCCTCACGCTCTTTCACTTTGCCCCAGCCGCAGAAGCCGATGCCTTCCGAGCGGCGGTTGACTTCTTTCCGGTTCCAGGGTTCGCCTTGGCCCCGCCCACGCACCTTGGTGGCGTGGAGTGCCGATCCTCTGCCGGGACCCCAGCCCGCGGTGCATCAGCAGGCCGATGCTCGGCAGCACTGGAGCAACACGCGATAGCTGCCATGAGGCGTTGAGCACGAGCACAGACGAGCCCGGTCGCCCTCCAAGCTCTCGGCTCACACTCGCAGTGGACGGGGAATGACCGGCTGGGGCCCAGCCCGGCACAGCCCGGAGAAAGGGAGCACGCGGAGATGGCCGTCTTGGTGGCGGTCTCGGCCTGGCGCGGAACCGACAAAAATGCGTGACCTTTCCCCACACCGCAGAGTGTCGCCTCCGGCAATATCGGAAGGGACTCGGCGTTGCGGGGGAGCCGCACGCTCCGCACGCCAACCGCCGCGGAGGGCCGCGACGCCGCGACGCGCCACGCACCGCCAGCGCGGTGAAAGGCCGAAAGGCTGCGCTTCGCCAGGCCGAGCACCGAGCGCCCTCCCCTTCACGAAGTGCACCAAGCAGTGACCCGCCGCGCCGCCGATCTGGGACCTGGTCGCGTGTAGTGTACGTGCGGTTTTCGCGCCCCGAAAAGGCTCAGCCGGGCCATTAGAACGAGCAGAATCCAGATCCAGAGCGCTCGAGCAGCGAGCTGCAGCAGCCTCTGCAGCCGCGCCGGCCGGCCGCCGCCACCGCCTCAAGCTCCACGAGCGCGCCGAAACGGGAGCGTGGCGGTGGCTGGGCCAGGCTGCTGTCGGGCGCGGCGGTTTGGGTAGTTCACAGTGCCGGCGTGTTACCCGCGGCACCGCGACGGAGTGGCGGTCCAGGTTCCAGGTGTGGGCCGCTAATGGGGCGCGCGCCGCACCGCGCTGGGGCCCTGGAGCCGACTCGCCGAAACGGTGCCTCTGTCGTTGTCTCTCTCGCTCCGACGCGGTGCGCCCCGCGGGCGCGAGCGAGACGGGCCGGCAAGGTCGCGTCGGTCGCCTAATTGGGTGCTCCTCTTCGACGCCCGCATGCTGCTCCTCGTTACGGTGTGGGGTGTTAGGCCGCCTATTCATTTCGGCAGCCCATCACGCCATGTACGTGTGGTGGCGCTGTCTTTCTCGCACTCGTGGGGCATCTCGTGCAGACAGCACCGAGGGACTGACTGTTCGGAATCAGACTGGAGCGTCCACGCCACGTCAAAGGACAAACACACTTCGCTGCCAAAGCCAAAACCTCGTCATTCGCGCGAATGTATCCCCGGAATGTACGCACCGCCGCCCCGTCGCCAGAGTCGTTAGGCCCACACCTACGCCGCACGCAGTAACGCGGTAACGCAGGCCCATTGTCACCCAACTCCCATGCGGTGAGGTGCAAGTTAATTGCACCGAGGGAACAATGTCCTTCCAATAGCGAGATGAGACAACGGGTTGGAAGGAAGCAGCGTTGGGAGTGGCTATAGAATATGCGCGAAGTGGTTGTGGACAGAAAAGTCGATAAGACTACAATTATGTATGCATCCCACAACATTAATTGGCCTGAAAGTGCGCCACTCCTACACAGTAATATTTCGCTAAAAATAAATAAAATAAAAATGGGAAAGGGGCGGGGGGCAGAAAAGAGTTACCGATAATGTCATCTGACAAAGTGACCCTCTATGCGAGGTCTGCAACACCGCGACCCGTTCACCGAAGGCAATTCGTTTAAACTTTGAGCGTTTGAACGCAGCAGCGCGCGGGAATGCCGCACATGTGGAAAGGGCTTAATCGACGTAAACCTGCCCGTTTGTAGTCGAGTGGTTTTTGTGGAGGTCACTGAGTGCGGTGTGCCGTACAAAGTGAGCCCCCACCATCATCCTGCGGGACCCCGGGACGCCCAGGATTCCAGGCCCTGGAGAAGAGCTGGAGGGGGACCTTCAGTATATTATCCAGGAGCCGTCGGTTTGGCGCACATTCGCACTCAATGACTCGGAGCACGATGGCGCGGAAAACGGTGTGTGTGAAAGTTTGTACAGTGTGGTGAAGTGTTCATGTGTGAAAGTGAATGTGTCAAGTGTGAGAAGCTGGACCTTCTTTTTGGCTTTGTTTCCCGATTTTCAAGAATAATTCAGTGGAGAAAGTCATTGATTCACTACGTGTGTCAAAAGGCAAAATTAATGCAAACAAGTTTCAACTATTGTTTTTTTTCCTTCAAATTTTTTCATAAATTTATTTTGTGATGTGTTAGTAATCAGAGAGTTATAAGTAGTGCCTGTCTACAGTGTGTAGTGTCACTGTTCTGAAACGGTTTGAAAATGAGTGAATCTCTCCTACTCCCTGCAGACCATGTTGGTGGTGCTGCTGGCGGTGGCGGTCGCGGTGCAAGCCGCGACTCCGACGGCGTCCTCCGCGTCCACGACTGCGGCCGTGAACCGCGGTCGGGGCGCCAAGAGGATGTTCGTCAGCAGGCCGAGGCCGCGGGCCATCCAGGGACCCTCGCCGACGTCGAGGGCCGCACCATCGCCCTCGCCGTCACCGACGCCCACCCCGTCGCCGTCGCCCAGCAGCTTCCCGCCGACGTCCGCCGCTCCGCCGGCGTCGAGCTTCTCGCCGACGCCCCGCCAGAGCGCCCCGACGCTCGTGCCGCACACGTTCGCGCCGACGCCGTTCCCGACGCCCTTCCCGACGCCGTTCACGCAGACGGTGGTGCGCATCCCCGGGCCCAGCCCCACGCCCCGCCTCGCCAGCCTCGCCGCGCAGGACGTGTTCGTGGCGCCCAGGAGGGCGTCGGCGCCGCTGCCCTTCAGCCCGCGCACCCTGCAGCACCAGCAACAAGCACTGCCGCGGCCCCGCGGCACCGCCGTGCCCATCGTCGCCCTCAAGTTCCACCTCAACGAGGACGGCACTTACCACACCAGGTATAGCATCGGATGCACGGGGCTCTGCTCTGTGTGGTAACACTTGATGATTCCATTTCTAATTTCCTTTCCCGGACGCAGCTCTGAGACCGGCGACGGCACGGTGCGCCAGGAGCAGGGCATCTTCAACGGCGCGGGCATGGCGGTCAAGGGCATGTACGCCTACACCGACCTCGACGTCGGCCCCGTGCAGGTAGGCCACCCCTTCGACGCTACGGCTGCGGCCAACCGCTGCTCTCGCCTCAGTCGCTCTGGGAACCTCAGGGAACCGCTTCCGTCGTGTTGCAGGTCAACTACGTGGCGGACGAGTACGGCTTCCAGCCGCAGGGCCCCAACATCCACCCCGCCATCCTGCAGGCCGTGGCCGAGCAGGTGCACGCGGCGCGCACGGCCAAGACGTCCGCCAAGGCCCGGCACGGCGCCGCGGGGCTCAACGGCCTCAACGGCCTCGACGACGACGGCGAGCTGGACTACGACTCGGACAACGGCGCGGGCACGTCGCCGGCGCCGCTCAAGTTCAAGTCGCGGGCCGTCCGGAGGGTGCTCGTGCGGAGGCTGTGAGAAGCAGCATGTGATACTGTAATTTATTTCTCAGCTAGGCTAGACAACCAATTTCCATGTAAAATGAAAACGCGAAAAAAAGTGAATAAAATGTGCGAAATCTATGCTTGGGGTTGAGTGGAGCGCGCGCGGTGTATTTCCGACCCCACTGCACTGCCTCGCCGCCATGGAGTATCGCCGGCGCCGCGCCGCCGCGCCTCCAGCGTCAGTTTCGCCTGCCTCCAGTAGATGGCGACTGGCGCGCTTGGAGGGTAGCTGCCCAGCCAAACTGCACCCCGTCCCGCGCGTGACGCGACGCCCACGTTATCAAAAATATCCATTGAGCCAAGTTACTCCCTTTTCAGTCCCTTTTCAAAAGTGTGTTCCAACACCCTCGGGGCCCGAACAAATGGGACGAGGCCCCTTGCGGCAGAGGCACCGTCATCGTGAGGCGCTGCACGTCGCGCGTCGCGCGGGAGCAGGAGACGGGGCGACGGGGGCGACAGGCGGCAGGAGTGCGTCCTGTCTAGCCGATTGCGAGTCAAGCAGCGCGGCAGCGCCGTGCGGTGCGATGGGATGCGATGGCTGCGATGGGATGGACGATACGCCACACCAACTTCTTTGACGTTCCTGTTATCTGCGGCCGCCTGGAGGGCCTGCAGGGCCCACGGCAACCCGGTCACCCCTCCTGGCCTCTAGCACTCCCAGCACAGCCTCCAGCAGGCCGACGCTGACGCCGCCTCCCTGTGGGGTGGCAACATTGCGTGCCAGGCAAAAATTCCTTCGATGTACCCGTGTCGAAAAGGTTGCCAACCTCCGCCTGCTCACTCGCGGCAACTTCTCGAGACCAAAGAACTAGGTGGAGGTTGGCAGCCCTATTTTCACTAGTGCACCACTGGGGATTTTTGCCTATTTATGTGGCAACACTGCTGCCCCCGTCGGTCGGTACCGC